TATAGTGGTTCATTTCAAATAGAAGTCCGTAATTTTTTTTTAATGAAAAAGAGTCAATTAAATTGGGTCTGGGGTAAGTTACACCAGTTGCCCCCCCTTCCTCTTGTGTGTGCCCCTGGGTGACCGTATGCACTGAAGAGTCATTTGGCTTACGTTAGATGGTATCGACAAATCTGTAGAGGGAGAAATTTAATTTTATTCTGCCAAAAAGCTTCAGATTTTTTTTTGTCTAGTATGATGAGAATGCACTCTGATTCTGAATTGCCTGTACTGTAAGGCGTGCTTTCACAGTTCTCTTTGTGCCTCTTTTCCTATTCCTACATTTTCTGATAATTCTTGTCGGAGTTTTGGATGTGAGAAAATGTTTATTGTAACCACACTACATTGAAGAAGCAGTTTATTTTCTCTGAGAAAGCTATCTTTTCTGTTTGAAGTCAATATTTGTAAATTTTCTTTTGATTTCTCCAGACCTTCACTATTTACGCAGTAAAGTGAAGTTACCTTACGAATAACGTACATTAACATTTTCTAGATCAAACATTAGATCATAACGTCGCTCCATTACGTCTACCGCTAAAATTCTTTAATCTTCGAGTTCCCTCTTCAACATATCACTCTTACAATGTTTTTTAATTTTTTTAAAAAAGTTTTTGCAGAATGTTACACTCCGGTTCGGCTCCCGTTCACTCCCGCATAGAGCACGAACGGTTCACCTAAGCAAGTCTCCGCATATTTAATTATGGTACAAGATATTCTTTGCGCGTGAGCAAGTTCCTTAGTAATGAACTGAATTACCTGAATGCCCTGAATTACGAAAAGAGATTAAGTCGGAAGTGATGTGTCCTTGATTTCAAGTGCCGTATATATTTGTCTTTGTAACATGGCTTGTACTTCAATAGTGCCCAGTGAACTCCGTCTTTAAAGTAACTTCGCATGAAGCGAGTTGATCATTTTGCATCTCATAACTTCAAGGACGTTTTATGTTCAAGCGAGGGCCAAAAGCTTTAGCCTCGTCCACAAATCAGAAGCTCGTTTCATAGCGCCAACTGCGCGTCAAGCGAATTGCTCGTGTGACTCATTCTCTGAATCCCCGGCGTGTGATCGTGAATCGTACCGTACCAAAGTACTAGTTTTTTACGATTAATAATCAAAAAGGAATTACCCTGGCGTCGGCTGGGCGAGGGGGCGTCGAAGTCGGGGGGCAAGGGGGGCAGCACCAGTTCGCGGGGATCGTCGTCCGCGGCGACAACCTCCGGCTTCAGCGTGAACACCTCCGCCCAGGTCGGACCCGACCGGAAGAACATGTCTTCTACTTGGCTGAGAGTAGGCCTGTGAACCCAAAGCCACAAGCACCAGCGCATTGGAATGCTACCAAGTTCTTTCCTTGAAAGAATTGTTGTCCGAAGGAAAGTTATAACTGCAATTCGATCTTATAAGCCACCAAAATAAAACACTTAAGTACAATAAATTTTTAAACAATTTCGAATATAACTAGCGATGCTATAGAATGGCTCAGATTTTGCGTCAAGTTTTCTACTTTCCTTAGTACTGGTTTCCTAATTACTGGCTTCACGGTCCTACCCCCATCCTCTTACCAGCTACAATCTATTGCCGCCGCAAGTACATTTTTTGACAGTTTCTCAAATTTTCGGTTTCCTAACAGTAGAATCGCAATATTACTTTAAGAATATCAAAGAAACGTAAAACCTCGTCATAAATGGAAATTTTCATTGCAAAATTTGGAGCAGTTTTTAAGAAAATGTCGATTTAGTCGAAAATGTCGCTGTAAATGCGAAATTTAAACTTTTCACAGAAAAGTTTTGAGTTTTCGGAAAACGGTCATTTAAATTCGTTTGAGGGATTTAACTCACAAATTCAATAGAATCGCTGAAAATTACATATTACAGGCGTGAGATATATTTAAAAAATACATTTGTGTTCTTTTTGAAAAACCAACAAAGGAACACAGCAAAATGAACTTTGTCTTTTTTAACAATGAAATAACCGTTGTAAAAATTTAAAGAAAAATGTGGAGCCATTTTTCAGAAAATGGCATTTGAGCATTTCTGAAAATGCCGAATTTTGAGCTGATTTTAACAGAAAACGAGTTTTTGAGAAACTTCATATGGCATTATTTAAAGCTCATAGACTCAAATACAATAATATGAACGAATAGCCACTAATGTAAATATTAACCACGTGAGAGGCAAGTCAAAAAATTAAATTGTAATAAAAAACGGTCAACAAAAGAATACGAAGAGCAACATTGCGTTCATGTCATCGCGCGTAAAGTACTAAAATGTTCATGACCTTACTATGGAAAACCAATTTTATAGTACTTTCCTCTTAATTCCCTAGTATAGGATGTGAAAACCTCTACACCAATGACTGAAGTTAGAAAATGTTTTCTCTGTGGAAGTAATCTAAACGGAAACTTATCATTCGCCGATGTAATGTCTTCAAATAAAGAAAATTGTCCGTTGATAATATTTACAGGTATTCTTGATGCATCAAGAAAAGTTTTAATCGCGGAATTTAGAGTACTTTGCGAGTGCAATAAATACCAAGTATATTTTTTGATACGTGTACCATTTCTCTTCGCTCCTCCATTTTCACTTTCTTTATACCTTATTCCCTTAATGAATATCCATCCGGTGTACACTATTTATAATTGCAATATTTCACCTGCATATTTCAGGAAAAATAGTTGGATGTAAGAGTAAAAATTATTACGAGAAAAATGGCCTAAAAAGTATGAAAAATTATCTGATTTTGTTTTCTTTAGGATTCAATTCTAGAAAGAAAAAAAAAATCAATCTTCCTCTGCTTGTATTTGTAGTATTTTCGAATAGTAACGCGTCATCGGGTCACTTGACCCAATGCCTTCTGCTCCGTATTGGTAAAGGCCACAGAAACGTCCAATAGCTTTTTACTTGTTCCTAAACATTTCGAAGCCAAAATTGTCATTACTCGTTTTTGATGTTTTGGACATTATGTAGTTACATGTTGAAGCAATTTGTAATATTTGAATCTGAAAATGTCGCATGCGATATGAAAATGCCTACGCTTATTAGTATGTCTAGTACATTACATTGCATTCAGATCAATTTTTACCAAGAAAATTATCTTCACGCCTGGGTACGTAATTTGGAGATATTTTTTATGATAACAAAAGACTGAGTGGTAGTGTCCCGTACAAGTCGTTCAAAGCGCTAATTCGCGCCGCTTTGCGAAAGGTAAACAGAGTGTGAAGGGGAAGAGAGAAAGTTGGAAATTGAGGGATAGCCTTCGACGATCAGTGGGAGTGTGTTTTTTGAAGAGTCCTGTACCTTCGTTGCGTAGCGTTACGGAAATTTTAAACGGGTGTTTAGTGAAATGCAACGAAACTTCAAAATGAATGTGGTGGAATTTTGCGTAATTGGCAAACTGAGCTCTTTCCTGAAACTAGATCCAACTTTCTAGTACGCATGAAAAATTCCAACGGACGTGGAGAGTTTTTTCAAGGCATTTCGCATAAAATGAGTAATGTTTTGTACAGTTTCAAGGTAGTTTTTCTTAATTGCGAGGGCCGAAATCTCGAACTTCGTCCTCAACTCGCAGATACGTAAAGAAGCATCAAATTCGGTGTAAAAATAATGTCCTGTAAGGGCCAAGGAAATTGCCCGAGTGAAGAGTAAAGAATACGCTATAACGTTCGTGGGCTGCAATAATGGCACAACTTAAAAAAGTCAGGAGTCGATAAACGAGTTTGAATTTTCACCTTTTGTATTGAAATGCTTCATTCTTGCATTCACACTTCTGCGATTTGTAGGTGGAATACTGTACTGTAAGATGTGCCTCTGGAAGCTACACCAATCTGCAATTCCGGAGTGCATTACATCAAATATTTTTTTGTTTTGTTTTGTTTTTGCCACCATTGTAGCCCATTAACGATGTATTTGTCCCGTTTGTGCAGCACAGAACCGCAAGATAGTTCATTTGATGCATCGCAAGAGACAAGGAAAAATTAGATTTGTATTTAGTGGTGTACCCTAAGTAATATAAGAAGACGCACCTACTCCATTTTGCTCTATTCCTCTACCCTCCTCTCCCAATCCCGATTTTCTAACGGTCTGGCAGACTTGACTTTAATCGATAAAAATATTAATTACGAAAACATACCAAAAATGTAGAAAAAAACTTTATAATTGTCGGTTTTTATAGGATTGTTCGCTCTGCACCGCAACAATCAGATTGCGTTCATGCGCGATTCAGTTTTAGACTAATTTGTAAAATTTCCTCTCCTAGTTCACAATAGTGTTTATTGTCATTAAATTAAAATATAAATCGACACAGAAGCACCTAAAGCAAGAAAGTTGTGGCAATACTGCACAAACTTATCAGACAAACAGGACACACTCGGCACATTGTGAATTCACGGTTAAAAATATTTCGCGCTTTGACAGCTAATACTCTCTTACCACGTTGTTTATAATTATGTTACTGTGAGCGAAATGAAAGCTGTAATGTCAGTTTTACTTAGAAATCTCAAGAAATGCCTGCAAGTTCAATTTAGAGTCTTCAACAACAATAGTCATTCAAAGCTGAAAAAAATCAACAAGCGAATATTCTAGAGATCAGTTATCATTCAACATTTGTCGATTGTTGTACGACATTGATGCATACCTACATTCGAAACTAACTTTCTCTTTTCAAACTATCGTCTAATAGGAAAACTTCTTGTCCCTCGCCTCATCACTAATTTACAACACATCATTTCCGAAATATCAGAATGATTAAACATACTATACTTTAACACGTGTATAAATTTTTAGTTCGAAACCACATTTGTTGAACCAAAATGTGTTATTATGGTTCGTTTACAGCCCTAATCATTTTCATAATTCACTGTTCACTTGCCCTTGGTAATTTGT